CCTGGCGTACCTGGTGAATCGGACGTTGCAGATGTTGCACTCGTAGGGTTTCTCCCCGGTGTGGGTGCGGATGTGGCGCGGCAGCTTCCCGGCGCCCTGGATCACCTTCTCGCAGATGGGGCACTTCTGGAATGCTTTCGCCCTGATCTTCTTCTCCACCTTCTGCGACCAGGACGGGTACATATCGCCCTCGCTGGAACTGCCGAAATATTTCAAGTAATAATCCATGACGCCGTCGTCGTCTTTGCGCTCGTCGTCTCCGAGCTGCTGCCGCCCCACCGAGTTGATCATTTGCTGCAGCAGCGCGCTGGCGGCCAGCTCGTCCACCTCCCTGGCGTCATCCTCCGTCTCCGCGCCCGGGGCCACAAAACCGGGCGAGTCCCCGGCTTCCTGCGGCTCCAGAGAGCCCCTGGGGGTGCCCCCCTCTTCTTCTGCCGGGGTGGCCAAGCCGCGGCTGCTGTAATGTCCGTTCTGGGAAGGGGAGAACATCCCGCCGCTGACCGGCTCCTCGTCCTCGCGCTCCAGCCACATGGCCGGGTTGCTGTCGGGGTCACAGTCACTTGCCTTTGGTCTTTCGGTTGGGGTGCCTTGCGAGTAGAAGTCCAGGCCGTTGCAGTTGGACTCCTCCTCCTCCTCTTGGCCTCGGAAGTTGAGTCTCTGAAGGTCTCTCAACTCTGGGTTGGTCCACGGAAAGCTGCCTTGGTGGCCGTTCACGGGGTTGCTCTGGAAGAACTCCAGGTACTCTTTTGCTCTGAGATGGTTCCTCTGATCAATTTGATCTACTGTATCCATCTGGTCATTTTTGGCCAGAATCTTCCTGTCCAGGAGATCCGTGCAGACATCCCTGACGGCCGGGATCTCCAGCAGCGTGGCGGCGTTGAGGATGTCGTTGACGTTGGAAGTGCTGACGGTGAGGGTCGCGGTGTAGGCGAACTCCAGCAGCGCCGACAGCGCCTCGGCGCTCACAAAGTCAATCTCATACACGTTCTGCTGGTCCACCACTAACCCTGAGGTGAAGAGCTTCTTGAAGTACTGGCTGCACGCCGCCAGGACGGAGCGGTGGGTGGGGAACTCCTGGCCTTCCACCAGGATGACCACGTCGCACAGCAGCCCGTTGTTCCTCTGCTCATTCAGGCTGCTGAGGATGTCGCTGCTGTGATCCGGGAACGGGATCCCTATGGGGCCGTCCACGCCACCCGCCATCTTCCTCTGTGTGGGCTGTGGGGAAAGGGAAAGGCTGTGAGTGGGGATGGTGGGAGGGTTCCCTGATCCCCCAGAAATGGCCCTGGTGTCCCCAAAGTGCCTCTCACTGTCCCCTGCACCTCTGCCATCGTCCTGGCCATCATCCTGCCCATCCTGCGCTTACCTGGGGAGGAGGAGGAGGAGCAGAGCCCAGCTGCACTGGGGACAGTGAATGAACAGGGATCCRGGCCAGAGCCAGCAGGCCTTGGCAGGAGCTGGGATCACCCAGGAGCGAGCGTGGCTGTGCCCAGTGTGGGCCTGAGCCTGGCCAGGGCATCCCAGTCCAGCCCTGGCAGCACTTCCCAGTCCCATTCCTATTCCCAGTCCTATTCCTATTCCTATTCCTATTCCTATTCCTATTCCTATTCCTATTCCTATTCCTATTCCTATTCCTATTCCTATTCCTATTCCTATTCCTATTCCTATTCCTATTCCTATTCCTATTCCTATTCCTATTCCTATTCCTATTCCTATTCCCTTTCCCATCCCCATCCCCATTCCATTCCCATTCCCATTACCATTCCATTCCCATTCCCATTCTCATCCCCATTCCCATCCCCATCCCCAGTCCTACTCCCACTCCCATTCCCTGTCCTATTCCCACTCCCATTCCCATTCCCATTCCTATTCCCAGTCCCATCCCCAGTCCCATCCCCATCCCCATTCCCATTCCCATTCCTATTCCCAGTCCCATTCCCATTCCCATTCCCACTGGGAAGGTCCCCAGCTCCAGACCCGGATCCTCTTCCCAACGCCGAGTGATTGTTCAGGACAAGATAAATAAATAAAATCACTCCAGACAGATCCACCTGGGAATTGACCCCAAATGCTGGAAAAACCCAGAGGGAGCCGAGCAGCCCTGGTGGGAAGGGATCCCCTTTGCCCTGAACAATCCCCACAATCCCATTCCTCTGATCCCAAAAATCAGGAACGACATTTCCCTCCTCTCCGCCTCAAACAGCAAAACCCACGTGCTCCTCACAACATCAACACCTCTGCTGGAAAATCAATTTATTCCCCATCCCAAGCACCGGGAGCAGCAAGAACTGAGAAATTCATGGACAAAATCGGATCCCAAACCACCCCAGCGCGAGGCTGGAGCATCCAAACTCCCCATTTCCARCTGGGGAAACTGAGGCACGGCTGGGGGGAGGAAAAGGGTGAGTCAGGATGGATCCAGAGCAGGAATAATTACACAGGAAGCAGCTCCAGCCCCGGGTCCCAGCACGGAGCAGGAGCCCAGGTTGCACAACTCCAACTTCCCCCACCCCCTCCTCCTCCTCCTCTTTAGTACTTTTCCATATTTACTTCTTTTTTTTATTAAAAAAAAAAAAAAAAGTTTTGTTAATCCCAGGAAATAAAATTTCATTTTGGCGCTTTGTTTTATACAGAGAAAAGGCAGTTCTGAGGTTGTAGAACATTGACAATGAATTTGGGGAATTCAGCAGAGGGAGAAAATCAAAATTGGGTGAGGAGCACCCAAAGGAGCTGAGTGGGGTGTGCAGGGAACCCCAACACCTGAAACACCCAGAGCCTCCCCAGCTCCAGGATTTCACCTCCAAACCCCAATTTCAGGGATTTTTACACCGAGGGGCTGCAGGAGGAAAGGGCTGTTGGGTGGCACCGGCTCCAGGGGTGACCTTGGGCAAGGTCACCCCATGCCAGGGCAAGGTCACCCCATGG